TCATTCATAGTGACCAAAACGGATTCTTACCAAATAGACAAATCAAAAATAATACCAGAATGGTAATGAATATAATAGAATACTATGAAGCAAACTCAGAAAAACAATTGGCAATGGTCTTCCTCAATGCGCAAAAGGCATTCAACAATGTTAATTGGCAGTTTATAATACAACAATTAAAAAGCATGCAATTTGGCAATAAATTTATCAAACTGATTTCAACAATTTATACAACACAGATGGCCAGTGTAATACTGAATGGTGATAGAACGGGAACGTTTAAGATCTACAAGGGAGTAAGACAGGGATGCCTACTGTCACCCCTTCTCTTCATCTTTACCTTAGAAAATGTATTGGAAAACATTAGGAAAAATGAAGAAATCAAAGGGGCTTCAATCAAAAAGGAGCATTATAAGGTACAGGCATTTGCCAATGATATAGTATTTTTTCTGGAAGATCCAGAGGATACAAGAGTAAAATTAATAAAGGAAATAGAGGAATTCGGCAAGGTCGCAGGCCTTAAAGTAAATAAAAACAAAACAAAATTATTGACTAAAAATTTAAAAGATAAGCAAAAAAAAGAATTAGAAATTGGGAATGCAAAGTGTGAAAAAGGTAAAATATTTAGGCATTTGGTTAACAGCAAGATGCTCTTCAATCAAAAAATATAATTACAACAATAATACAAATTAAAGAATTAGAAATGTGGGGGAAATTACAGCTATCATTACTGGGAAAAATCACAGCAATTAAAATGTCTACTTTACCAAAAATACTATATCTTTTTCAAACTGTACTAATAAGATTGGATAAAACCTTTTTTAAAGAATTAGATCAATAATAAGTAAATTTGTTTGGGATGGGAAAAAAGCCAGGATAAAAATGAAACTATTACACGACAAAAGAGAAAGGGGGACTTTGGACTCCCTGACTGGAAAATGTATTACCAAGCTGCGGCTATGGTATGGATTAAAGATCTGATCAACATGGAAAATAGAAGAGTATTGTTGATAGAGGGTCACGACTTGCAGAGAGAGTGGCACAGTTTTCTATGGGATGGGAAATGTAAACAGCATGCATATTTTCAGAGACATATGATTGGAGATTCATTAATTTGGACGTGGAACAAGATTAAAAAGAACCATTATACTAAAATACCAAACTGGTTGTCAACTATGGAAGCACAAATCTACCCAAACGCAATGGATCTGGGGAAAAAGAGGACTTATAAAGACTTATTAGACACACAAGGAAGATTAAAAACGAGACGAGAATTACAGCAACAAAATATAAAAATAGATTGGTGGCCATACATGCAAATTCAGGCGAGATACAAAAAGGACAAAGAACAATTTGGTTTTTGCATGGAAAAGCATCAATTAGATAAAATTCTACAAGAAATGGAAAAGAAAATGATCTCAAAGAATATATAACTTTCTACTAGATTTTAAAATGGAAGAGGAGGTGGTCAAAGAGACGATGGTGGTATGGGCAAAAAATGTTGGCCATAATATAGACCTGGAAAATTGGGAGAGAATGTGGGGATTAAATTATAATTACATCTACAGCATACTGGGAAAATCAATATAAAATGTTCTACTGGCGGCTCCTTCCTCCCGCTAGACTGGCAAAAATGTTTAACTCAGACCCAAACTGTTGGAAATGTGGAAAAGAAAAAGGCACTTATTTCCATACCTGGTGGACATGCCAGGAGGTGAAAAAATATTGGAATACAATTAGACAATGGCTAGAAGAAATCACGAATCAGAAAATTGAATTTAATCTGGAAACTTTTTTATTAGGTATAATAACACAAAAATGCAATAAAACAGATAGATATATCATGTTACACATATTAACAGCTGTAAGGATTTCGTACGCACAACTCTGGAAAGAAAAAGGGGTTCCACCAGAAGGCATGGTTATAAAAAAAATAATAGATTATATGGACAGGCTAACGATGAAAATAAAAGACAGAGAAGATTCAATTTACTATAGGGCCTGGGATGCCTGGTATGAGTGGTTTAGAAATAAAAAGAAAAGAAAATGGCAATTAGGAAAAGAATGAGGGAATATGCAAATATACCACAGAGAAGATTGATGTGTAAGGATAAAAGATATTGACTTATAGCAAGAGTAAGATGTAATGGTAAAGGAATAAACATACTGAAAAATGTAAGACAAAAGATGTCTTGATGTTGATAACAATGTATAGTTTTATTTTATGTTTTCTAAAATTTGAAAAATTAATAAAATTTATTTCAGTGAAACTGAAATTATATCTACACCTGCTCATCTTAGAATTTTCCATCTGTGGTCTGAGAATTATTTGCATCCAAGCACCTAGCAAGAGTCTCCGATCTGTAAAAACAAAACAAAAAATGGTTGCAGTGTTCTTCCAGAGTAGCAGTAGTATATCAGAAGGAAACACTTCACAACTTGCGGCTTCCTTCAATAAAGATTTTTGGTAAAATTCTTAGAAGTTGCATGAGGAATGTATTTTACCAAGAAATGAAACCTTTAGCACTAAACTCTACAGATTAAGACTATTTTACAGGTTTTCATTTGGATTTCTGTCTTTTTAAGCCAACAGGTAAAGCTCAAGTTTGAGACAAGGATCAATGAAGGTCAACCAATTATAGTTTTCCAAAGATGGCCAGTCAGTCCACTTTTGTGAATCTCCCTTTGTAGGAGGAAAAACAAAACTCAAATGAAGAGAGAAAAAGAAAGCAAGGCAGAAATATTTTGTTTGCTATATTCAGAATTGTGGATTATCATTCTACTATTCTGTGTTGGAACTATACTTCTGATGTAATAGAAGTCAGGAAATTAAAATGTTATTCTAATATTATTTGTCAAGAGTTTAACTATTTACAAAGTCTGCACTATTATTATTATTAATCTTCTCATCACTCATTATCACCCGTCCCCTCCCACTTGTGACTGTAAGACTGTAACTTTGTCACTTGTATCCTAATGTTTTTTATTGACTGTTTCCTAGTATTGTTTTTTATTGACTGTTTCCTAGACTATTATTAAGTGTTGTACCTGATGATTCTTGATGAATGTATCTTTTCTTTTATGGGAGCATTTGCACCAAGACAAATTCCTTGTGTGACCAATCACACTTGGCCAAGAAAGAATTATATTCTATTCTATTCTATTTAAAGGCAGTTTAGTTCTATCCAGTAATTCACACAAGCATTCACTTTTTATTGTTCATGTTAAGATTTTTACACAATCTACTAAGAGTTTTAAAAGCTTTTTCTTCTACCACAAAAAGAGCTCCATTTTAAAAAGTTAGTGTGATTTAAACAGCTTGTGGTGTTCTCTGCATTTAAAGCATGCATACTTTTCCTAGATAACTCTCAATGTGGAGTGATAAAGCTTTTGTATTCAATGTTCAGAACTACAAAGCTAACTCAATTATCCCAAAACCTTCAGTAAAAAAGCTTGTATATGAAATGTAACAATGCACAGAGTGATCTTACAGAAGGGAGAGGATAGACAGCTCCAGAATTATTTCTCATTTTAGTGCCCCCTTAAGCTCACGTTGTCAACTATATTTTATCCTATGGATCCAGAGTTTAACAATTGAAGGGGGGGGGGACTAGAACAAATATATGACTGAATATAGCAGTGTTAATCAAATAAATATTAGGCAAGGAGAGTTTTTCTTCTAATTGAAGGACTTCTACTTCTCTGTATTAACTGTAAGCATTAATAGTAAACATTTAAAAAACAAGTCTAGAAAATAACTGAGGAAATGGAAAAAAAACACTCACAAAGTGTTCCTGTTTTGAGACAGAGGTAGGGAAAAAGTCCAGAGAATCAAGGGAAGTGGAAAACAAATATTGAGAAATGTGTTGCATTGCAGGCAAGGTCACAAATCTAAGCACCCATGTAAATCCCAGCTGTCAATCTTCCATCCTCAACCTCTTTGAAGGAAATACTTGCAGTTCTTATACACAGTAATAGCTATTTTTAACCAGAATTTGCAGAATGGTCCTTTATATAAAATGAAAACCCAAATCCACACCGTAAACCCAAGAGTGAGAATTCTGAATAAACATAATTAAGATCAAGCCAAAAGCAATTCCATGGATCTGGGAGTTCATCCAAGAGGGATTTGCTGCTGAGTAATCCCACATCAGAATAGGATGTAAGCAGCCGGATATTGGTGGGTTTTGTTGTTGCTTGGAAGCAGGTTTGAAGCACTATCTCCAACAATTAACCTTTAGGCTATAGGCACATTTACCCGGGGAAAATCCCCCCTACACACACACACACACACACAATAGAAATACTTTCAAGCGATTACACAATTGCATACATAGCCTTAAATACGAGGTGAGTTACTAGACCTCTGCTTTGCTCGTCAAGGGTCTTGTTTTGCAGAGAAGCAAAATACACGCAGGAGATTCTTTCCTAGATGCAACTGAGAGCCAACACCTGGAACTGCCCCAGGCATCCCACCTCACAGAGACTAGGTGGTGACTTCCACCGGTTCCCAAATAAATACATCAATAAAACACCGGCAAGAAAGAAAGTGCGTTAAGGAACGGTCCTCGGGGAAAACAAACAAACAAACAAACAGGCAAATCCTCGGGAAGCCGGTCAGCAGGAAGGGCGCCCGGGTTTTCTTGGAGGCAGCCACCCCGCCAACTCTCTCTCCCGTGCAAGCGAGCCTCGCAAGCTCCAACCGCAGCGCCTCCCGTGAGCTACCCTCCCCCGCCCCTGCCTCCCGAGGCCAAAGAAGTTTAACTTCTAGCGCTGCCGGAGCTGCCGCTTAACTTGCGCCGGCTGCTTCTGGATGACACTCGGGCGACAGCCTCACACACACACACACACACACCCCACCCACGACTGTCCCACAAGCAGCTCTCCCGGAGTCCCAAGCCAAGCGCCCGCAGGAAAAAAAAAAAAAACTCGCCCGCTCCATCCCTCAACGGTCTCCCTGCCAAAAGGAGAAGCCCTCCCCGCAGAAGCCGGGTGCTTACCAAGAGAGAAAGCAGCAGCAGCAGCAGCATTCTCCCTCCGCAGACCGGAGCCCCCCTGAAGCTGCGCCCCGGCTGAGCCATAACCCAGCCCGCTCCGGCTTTAAGCTCCGGCTCCCGCTCGCGCTGGAAGAACGAGCGGCTGCTGCCACGTCTGGTTAAGCATGCGCAATCCATGAGGGGAAAAAAAAAAAAAAAGCACACACATACACACAGAGACAGACAGAGGGGGGAAAAGCCCTGCTATACCGTACTGGAGCCGAAGAGTGAGCGGTGAGGTGCATGCTGGGGGCTGTAGTCTCCGCCGTGCGAGCGGCTCGGGTTGGGCGAGGAAACAGGTGGCAGAAAGAATCGGAACGCCCGCCCGCCCGCCCGCCGCCGAATGGGAGGCGCTCATTCACTGGGGCGGGGGAGGAGAAAAAAGGACAGCGAGTTGGAGGAAAGGTGCGTCAGTCCGAGCAGGCTGAGAACGGCAGGGAAACTGTTTCGACCGAGAAAGCCCGGGTTCAAATCTCATCTCAGATCGGAGATCTAATCGACTGCTTTTATGGTGGGGTTTCCCGCGCTTCAGGGATGGTTTTGTTAATAATGGCTAGTGCTTTGACCCCTTTCTCCCTTTTATGATCTGTAGGTTACATGTCTTGCCTCGGATTAGTCTTCTGTAGGGGTGTCAATGGCCTTGCAAAGAGACGATTAGAAACAACCAGGTTTCTATTCCAATCTTTAGGGTGGTTGTTTTTTGAAAAATAAATCTACAGCACTTTTTGATAGCAGTCCATAATTTTGCACTTACACCCCCATTTTCAGATGTACTGACTCGCGTACCTATTATGTTAGTAAATTAGAGCTCTAAATTGTTAATGGGTGCTTTTACACGATGGGAATTCAGGTCAGCATGCAGCGTTTTCTCTTTCAATACTTCACCCCAGCAACCCCCCTGTGAGGTAAGTTGAGCTGAGAGAATGACTGGCCCAAATTAATGAATTAATTTTCCACAGGGGACAGTAGACTACTGTCTGTCACTCCCCGGCAATCTAACCCTCTTTTTCAAATAGATAAAGAACTAAATCATTCTATCGTATGTCCTTTAAAATAATATTACGAAGTCAGCCCCTACTTTTCTGTTTAAATTAAGAGAGCCATCTAAGAACTTAAAAACATGTGTATAGTCTCACAAAATTCTGTGTATTCGATTAGATCTTTGAAGTTTTCCCTTCCGTATTTCCCATCACATATCTCTAAAAGCATTGCAAGTATTTTAACCAACAGCTTCTTAGACAGGACTGTCTGTTGTGGGAGGCAATTACCTGAGCTCTTGAACCTTGCTACCTGGGATCCCTTTAATAGGTTTGGTCCCTTTAACATACTTCATGCTACAAAACAAGCTCTAGGCAACACTCTCAATAAGAAGTGTTCTAGTGTATTGTAGTTACTTTAAACCACATCTGGACTCTAGCAGTAAATATATTATTCTGGCTTTCAGGTATTTTTTTTTAAGTAGCATAAGGGCTGATTAGAAATTTGCTCTCAATCAGTGTGTTCTATTTAAGGCACTGCTCCACTTTTCTGGTTCTAGCTATAAACAGCTGAAAATGATTAGTGCCACAGAACTGCACAGAAAAATAGTTGACATCACCCTGTAAAATAGAACTGCTGCACTATAGGCAGGATGGGTCAACAAACGGGAAGGAGTTGCTTGATGTATTTCTTAAGGATTTCCCCATCTAAGCCACTTCTATAATCAACAATCATACAGGGAATGCACTGCCAAACATGTGCACATATATACATCAGAATCCTGTTCGCATCTATTCAAATCTATATCTGTGTACCCTGAGAGAAAAGCTTATACTGTAGGAGAACTAGGGAGCAATTAAGGGGTTGGAGGAGGACTGAGTCCAAATTTACCATTAGCCATAGAAACTCATTGAGCCACAGAAATTCACTGAGAAACTTTGGGCAAATATTTCTCAGCCCAGTCTACTTCATAATATTTTGCTGTGAGGATAACAAGAAAGAAGGTCTCCATGGAGCTACCTTGAGCTTATTAAGTTAGAGAAACCAGGAACCAGTGTTACTCCAACTGGAGGAAAACATTATGTAAACACTGAGCTGGCACATTCAAGGTTGAGAGAAGATCTTCTCACACTCCATCAACTAGTAACTACGGAAGGAAAATACTTATGGTTTAAAGCCTTGGCTGACTTGCCTGAAGAGAGCTGGATTTTTTCCAGCCTTGATTGAATTGGGAACCGTCCAAAATTTCAGATAAACAAACGAAGCTCAGCCCTTCTAGAATCAATCTGCATAACCTTCATTTTGATAATTATAGCTGAATGATTAATTAATTGCTAGATTCTCCAAATTATATACACGGAAAGAGCAAGTTGGACAGTAACCCCTGCTAGGAATGCTAATGGCAGGAAAGTAATAGATTGGTCACTGCAGAATCAGGAAACTTCTGCAAAATGTTCCTGGAAATTTATCTTACTTTCAAGCCTACCATAGAGATGTTTTAATCAATCATGAGTCACTTTGGGCTACTTTTTGATTTCATAGGAGAGTGCCTGTCTTAATAAGATGGCGTCTTATAATATTTATCGGAGACTGTCTCTGTGAGTATCAGTGTACATGAGCTAAGAAAGTCTGTGTATTATAGCACTTACGAACCATTCCAATAATCCCAGTTGCTACAATCTCTGCCTACCTTACTAGACCTAACACAGCAAGCATCATTCAAGTCCTGCCAATAAAACAATGCCATCTCATGGGGCCCAGAGTTGTGTCTTCTTTGTCACTGGGCCTGGCCCAGATAGATATAATCCTGACAACTGGGTTATTCTTTCAGATACTAGGCCAGGATGCAGACCCACCTATTAATCTGTACCTGGAATTTGTTTCTTGCTTGGGGATGCGTTAATGGATTTTTTTTTCCTCTGTGCTTTCAATTGTTTGTAAGCCATCCATGGTGCTTTCAATTCTTTGTAAGCCATCCAGAATCATTTGATGAATGAGCAAGCTGGAAACCAAATAAATAAAGCAAGTATGGGTCTACAGGTTTTCAGATGGTGTATTCTATCATTACACAGCTGCCCATACTCCACAAAGCAAAAGAATAACTCAGAATATTTAACAAATTTATATCATGCTCAATCCCAAGGCTGTATGTAGCTGAAATGGTGTTAAAAAAAAAAGTTAAAACTATTCCATGCCCCTCCAGAACAGCAACTAGCCTAGTTAAAAAGGTATGTTTTAAGCCTCTTCCTACCCTTTATGGAAAAAAACAGTTACTACCAACCTGCCTTCAATTGAGGACCTGTATACTGCACGAGTAAAAAAAGAAGGCTGTGGAAATATTTACAGACCCCTCACATCCCAGACATAAACTGTTTCAACTCCTTCCCTCAAAACGATGCTATAGAGCACTGCACACCAGAACAACTAAACACAAGGACAGTTTTTTCCTGAACGCCATCACTTTGCTAAACAAAGAATTCCCTCAACACTATTTACAAAGTCTGCACTACTATTACTATTAATCTTCTCATCACTCCTTATCACCCACCCCCTCCCACTTGTGACTGTATGACTGTAACTGTCATTTGTATCCTTCCGTATATTGACTGTTTCCTAGTATGATTTGATTGTTTATTGTACCCTATAACTATTATTAAGTGTTGTACCTGATGATTCTTGACTCTTGATGAATATATCTTTTATGTATACTGAGAGCGTTGCACCGAGACAATTTCCTTGTGTGTCCAATCACACTTGGCCAATAAAGAATTCTATTCTATTCTCTTCCTCAAGTGTAAGCGGAAAGCAGCTGTAAGTCCTTCTCAAAATCATTCCACAGTGCAAATCTTACCACAGAAAAAGCAAAATTATTGAAATATGGATGATTGAGTCTGTTATATGTTAAGAACTCAGAATCCTATCAACTAGTCCTATAGTTCATTTGGGTGTAAACTTGTGAATTAGTCCAAAGAGGAACTGGCAAACTGTGTGTGAAATAGTGAAGGAAACAGATGCAATACATTCTGTGATACTTTAGAATTGCTATTTGAATCTGAAGTATATTTGGTCTTATCTGCATAATCCTTGTTTGGATTTTAGACTAGCCAATAGTAAAAATGGCACTCTATTAATATATACCATTTAAAATATTATATTGGGCATGGATTTGAGGAAAGTGTACTGAAAATGCAAGTACAGAAATACTTCTCCAATGGCAGGTGCGATTTTAACTAGATTTAGCAAACAGAAGTACCTTATAGCTCCCTGCCATTGTTAGTTAGGTTTCCATGCAAATCATAAAGGCTATTATCCCCGCCTGTGTATGCTGGTCTAGTTTCGCTTGAATTTCAAAACCCTCAATGAAGATCAGAACCCTTATGTGATTCCTTTGTGTCAAACTGCTTACATCTTCAGATATTTCTATAGTACAGCCGCTGCTCTCAAAGAATGGAAATGCAACCTCACTGTGAAAATTTTGCCAAAAAAGGTTGGCAGGAAAGCTTTAATCAGAATAGAGAAGAAATGTGCCCTGAAAAGGCAGAAAGAGGAAGCAAAGGCATCTTTCAACACAGCATAGGCTTACTTTTACTTAAATTTAAAAGTACATTTGCAACTTGGAACAAAATCACACTGCGTGTTGGATTTTTTCCGACTGTAGGGTTCCAGCTTTTACACAGTAATTTCAAAATCCAGAGATTTAAAAAAATGATTTACAGAAGATACAATAATTCATATCTTAATCCTTTGGTAAGATTAAGTAGAGTTCCTACAGCTCCCCCTAAACAAGTCAGCAAATCAATGAAAAAAACAGTTTTGTCAAGTTACAATGCAGATCAAACCACACAGATGGCATTTTAGATAGCTAGTTTCTTCTAATAACTTAAGCTGTTTTGCCTGCTTTGTGGGGAGATTCATTACTGCTGACATTCTTCTCCAAGTTGTATCACACTTCTATCTTGACTGGAAGGTTATGTGGCAAATCAGACAGAGACCTACCAAATAGTTGGGATTTGTTTGGAAATATGTTCATAAAGTAAGTTTGTCCTTCAAGTGGACATGTGAAGATCTTTTGAATATCGTTCACTTTTTTCTTGTGATATTGATCTTAGTTTACAGCCAAACCTGATTTTTTTTCTCTTTCAGCTGCCTATTTCATCT